CCCCAGGTTCAAGCAATTCTCCTGCCTCACCTTCTCAAGTAGCTGAGATTACAGGTGCCCACCACCACACCTGGCTAACTGTTGTATTTTTAATAGAGGTGGGGTTTCCATATTGGCCAGGCTGGTCTCAAACTCCTGACCTCAATTATTCATTAGCCTCAGCCTCCCAATGTGCTAGGATTACAGGCATGAGCCACCTCGCCCGGCCAACAATGCATTTTTTTTAAAAAACGAATTCACAATAGCAAACATACTGAGCAATGACTGTCTTCAGCCTTGTCTGATAACCTAAGGTACATATCCATCCCCTGCTTTGCAGCCCATCTCCAGCCCCTGACCCTTGACCCTGTTTTATTTATTTATTTATTTTTGAGACGAGATCTGGCTCTGTCACCAAGGCAAGAATGCACTGGCACAATCATGGGTCACTGCAGCCTCAAACTCCTGGGCTCAAGCAAGCCTCCCACCTCAGCCTCCCATGTAGCTGGGACCACAGGCACATGCCACCATGCCCGGCTAATTTTTAATTTTTTTTTTTTTTTTTTTTTTTTTTTTTAGTTGGAGTCTTGTTCTGTTGCCCAGGCTGCAATGCAGTGGCAGGATCTCAGCTCACTGCAACCTCTGCCTCCTGGGTTCAAGCAATTCTCCTGCCTCAGCCTCCTGAGTAGCTGGAACTACAGGCGTGTACAATCATACCCGGCTAATTTTTGTATTTTAGTAGAGACAAGGTTTCGCCATGTTAACTAGGCTGGTCTGGAAATCCTGACCTCAGGTGATCCACCCGCCTCAGCCTCCCAAAGTGCTGGGATTACAGGCGTGAGCCACCACGCCTGGCCTAATGTTTTAATTTTTAATTTGTAGAGACAGGGTCTCACCATGTTGTCCAGGCTGCTCTCACGCTCCTGGCCTCAAGCAATCTTTCTGCCTTAGCCTCCCAAAGTGCTGAGATTACAGGTGTGTATGAATCACCATGCCCAGACTATTTTCTTCATAATAAATATAATAAATCAATATTTGTCAAATGAGCAAGCAATTTTTTTTTTTTGAGACACAGTCTTGCTCTTGTCACCCAGGCTGGACTGCAGTGGTGCACTCTCAGCTCATTGTAACCTCTGCCTCCCAGGTTGAAGCGATTCTTCTGCCTCAGCTTCCTGAGTAGCTGGGATTACAAGCATGCACCAACACACCAGCTAATTTTTGTATTTTTGGTAGAGATGGGGTTTCACCATGTTGGTCAGGCTGGTCTTGAACTCCTGACCTTGTGATCCACCCACCTTGGCCTCCCAAAGTGCTGGGATTACAGGCATGAGCCACCATGCCTGACCATGAGCAAGCAATTTTAACAGTAGTCCCCTTTGAGTGGAATAGTGTATGATTTTGGTTCATTTTGAAATTTTTGGGCCAAGCATGGTGGTTTATGCCTATAATATCAGCACTTTGGGAGACTGAGGCGGGTGGATTGCTTGAGCCCAGGAGTTAGAGACCAGCCTGGGCAACATGGCAAAACACCATCTCTACCAAAATACAAAAAAATGAGCCGGGCATGGTGGTGTGTGCCTGTAGTCCCAGATACTCAGGAGGCTGAGGTGGGAGAATCCCTCTGAGCCCAGGAGAGATAGATTGCAGTGAGCTGAGATTGTGCCACTGCACTCCAACCTAGAGGAAAGAGCAAGACCCAGTCTGAAAAAAAAAAAAAAATCGTACTTTCAGGTTTTTCCAATTTCAATAATCAGAAATGTTTTTAGGCTGGACATGGTGGCTCACAGGTATAATCCCAGCACTTTGGGAGACCAAGGTGGGTGGATCACCTGAGGTCAGGAGTTGGAGAACAGCCTGGCCAACATGGCAAAACCCCATCTCTACTAAAAATACAAAAATTGGCTGGGTGCAGTCATGTGTGCCTGTAATCCCAGCTACTCGGGAGGCTGAGGCAGGAGAATCATTTGAACTGAGAGGCGGAGGTTGCAGTGAGCTGAGATCCTGCCACTGCCCTCCAGCCTGGGGGACAGAGTGAGACTGTCTCAAACAAGGAAAAAAAATACAGAAATTAGCTGGGCCCAGTGGCACATGCCTGTAGTTCCAGCTGCTTGGGAGGCTGAAGCACGAAAATCACTTGAACTTGGGAGGTGGAGATTATAGTGAGCTGAGATGGAGCCACTAAACTGTAGCCTGGAGGACAGAGCTAAACTACTGTCTCAAAAAAGAAGAATAGGAAGGAGGAGGAGGAGTTGTATGAGTAGGAGGAGGGGTAATTAAGTATTTTTAAAAAGCAAAAATAAATTGAGTGCAAGAGAAATCAGACATTCTGTGAATGAACTGAACCATTTGTGTTCTCATCTTCCTGGGAGCAACATTATCAAAAGAACCAGAAAAAAATTTCAGGCATTGAGAGGAGAGCTAGATGTATTAAAACTCAGTCAACCTACATGCCCCTTTTGGGTACTCAGGAGCAAGGCTGTCTACTCAGCACAGGAGGGCACAAGCTTGACACTCACCCCACGATGACTCCTCCCCTGCAGGCGGCCAACCATGGATATGAATCAAAGACAGTGTCCTGAGGACCCAGAACTGGATGTTGGCTCCACTGTGAGCCCTGTACTGGCTTGGGGCTTCCAGAGGCTGGCCCAGGCATGCCCTAGGAGCACACTTGTGGGCCCAGCCCTGCCAAAGCAATGCCCAGTGCTGTCACTCAGGAACGCAGCTGCCCAGAGCCCATTCATGCCTCATCAGTGCCCACTTGGTAAGCATGCAGGAGCACATCAGGATGGCTTTGCCCTGAGTTTTATGTGGATAGCAAAGCAAGGACAGAAGAGGCCCCATCAAGCTCCCACTGCCTGGGGCTTTGCTCCCAACCCAAAAACATCCAGGGCAGCAGCCTAGCTTATGAAACACAGGAGCAGCTTTACATAATCATAGGAAATGAAGAGAAAATGTGTGTTCAGAAAAATGCAACTTGGCCCCAACTTCACTAGCTACTTTTTCAAGATGGAAATTTATTTTTCTTTTTTTATTTGTTTTGTTTGTTTATTTGAGATGGAGTCTAGCTTTGTCTCCCAGGTTGGAACACAGTGGAGTGATTTTGGCTCACTGCAACCTCTGCCTCCCAGGTTCAAGTGATTCTCCTGCCTCAGCCTCCCAAGTAGCTGGGATTATAGGCCCCCACCAAAACACCCAGCTAATTTTTGTATTTTTAGTAGAGACAGGGTTTCACCATGTTGGCCAGGCTGAGCTGGAACTTCTGACCTCATGGATCCGCCTGCCTTGGCCTCCCAAAGTGCTGGGACTGCACTCGTGAGCCCACACGCAGCCTACTTTGCTACTTTCCCGATTATAAAAGTCAACCCATTGGTGGGTCTCTCAACAACAAACATTTGAGGGGTGTGTGAGCATCATCTGTGAGTGTGAGTGTGAGTGTCAAACAGTTCCTGCAACCTGGGGTTCCTCATGCCTGACTTAAGTGCAGCCCCCTCTGGGTTCCCAAAGCACAGGGGACATGAAGAGGTGGGATATGACTTCCTGACATTGCCAGTCTCCCATGCCAGGGCATTTCAGGCTGAAAGGCAATTCAGAACTCTCTGCTCCACATTCCATTCTAGGCAGCCACTACAATCCATCAGCACAGTCTCAGTGATCAGAGCCATCATGCAGTAACAATACTGGGTGGCATGGCACCCCTCAGGCCCCCGACCCCCCTCAGGTCCCTTTTAGTGATCCTGGAGATCCCTGGGGAGTGGCTATGGGTAACTCTTCGTGGGGACTTACACTATCCTGGATCCTCTGAGGGTGCCCTTCTCCCTAGTGCTGTACAGGTCCTGGGGGACAGCTCAGATTCCAGCATGTGGCTCTGCTCTCAGGTCACCGTGGCCTCTGCTGGCACCTGATGCCAGCAGCGAGACATTTGTGCCACTTCCTACCCTCCAACAGAGCACCTTTGTGTCTCGGTTTCTGGAAAGGCCAGAATGAAGGGCACTAGCACTTGCTGGCTGTGTGTCCTCAGGCACACCACTTGACATTCATGCTTTCATTCTGCAGGCATTCATTGAGTACCTATTGTATGCGACCCAATTGCAGTCCCTGGGGATAGAGCCAGGGACAAGAGACTGCATCCTGGCTCTCCTGGAGCTGCTAGATCATGTAGATAGGCAGATAGCCTTGCAGAGACCAAGACAGGCAGTGTGACAGGAAGCATGGCTCTACATCCAGGCCATGTGAGGAGCCTCAGGAAGGGCTCTGCTGGCTCAGGGGGCAGCCTGTGCAATACCTCTTGGAGGGAGTGGTCTTGGAGTTTTTTAAGGAATGCAAGGTCAGTGTGGCTGAGATGAGTGGGGCTGGGGAACCTGAATTTTATTCAAAGGGAGTTAAGCCGGGGAGAAACAGTTCTCTGGCAGCCATGGGGAGGGTGAATAGGAGGCTGGGAGAAGATGGGGTGTGAGGGCAGCAGGGAGCCAGATATTAGCTGGAAGCCAGACAGGATCCCAGGGCTTTCTCCCAAGTGCCATATGACTTCTGAGGTATGTGTGTTTGAATAAAGACCCTGGGACATGGGGACAAGGGAACCACCCTGATTGAAATGGGTGCTGGTAACACCCCCAGCTAGCCCAGGATTCTGGATCTGAAGCTGACCTTCGGGAAGACCAAGAGTTCTTAAAATAAAGCTGAACCCTTGGGCCCTGTGAAAGGGAAAACACTCAAACTGTTTTTCCTCTGTGCTCACACCACAACAATCAACACAAAAGGTTTCTGTGATCAAATGTGTGGGGGTTTCTCCCCACGCACCCAGCAAGCAATCAATTCTGCAGCGACACCAGCTGGGGTACCCTCCAACTCCATTCCATTCTGATGCAAATTACCTGAAGATAGTCTCAGAAGCCACAGGTTTGAGGGTTCAGTCCCCCAAGACCACCTCCTCCTTCGCATGAGTCATAAGATTGGGACTGACCAGTTTCAAGTTAGGGTTCCCACTGCTCCCTCTGTGTTCAATTAATTTTCTAGAGCAGCTCTCAAAACCCAGGAAAGCACATTTATTGGTTAGTTACAAAGGATATCTTAAAGGATACAAATAAACAGCTAGGCAAAGAGATACATATAAACAGCTAGGCAAAGAGACACATAGGCAGAGATACATTTATGGGTTAGTTACAAAGGATATCTTAAAGGATAGAAAAAAACAGCTAGGCAAAGAGATACATAGGGAAGTTCCCTGGTGAAGGAGCCATTGTTTCCACGGAGCTGGAACTTGCACCCTCCCAGCACATGGATGAGTTCTTGTTCACCTTCCTGTGAGCCTCCATGTGTTCTGCTGTCCAGAAGCTCCTGAATCCTGTCCTGGATAGAGATGATTGATAATCTTGTGGAAATGTGATTAGACCAAAAGTATATGATCTAATACTAATCAACTGAATGGGGAAGCCCAGCAAGACCTCTGTGTCCTGACTCTTCTTGGCCTCTCTGGGAAGCTCACTCTCTGGTAAAAGGGCAAACCCTTGAAACCCTTTGAAAGCTCTGTGCCTTCCAACTCTGTGGCCCTTACAGCAGTGGCTCCCTAAGGGAGTGGCCTCAATGTCCTCACCTGCCTAACGGGACTCATCACTCTGCACCCACTCTGGTCTTCCCTCCTCATGGGTATGGGACAGAACCCCTTCTCATGGGGATCTAATGACCAACAATTACACCAGGTAGGTGAGAGAACTTATTTATGGTCAGCTCCAAGACAGACCACCAGGAGGAGATCCTACCATGGGGAAAGGAACAGGTGAAATGAGGGTAGGAGAAGGCTTGAGAGACTGTTTCTGAGGTCTGCTCCTGACACCTAAAGCACCCCAATGGGATAACAAGGGCTGGGGGAACTTCTAAGCCAGTAACTTATATATGTATATCATAATGTTACAGGCCCCATTCATGCAGAACCCCAAGAGGAGAGGAAGCTGCTCTGAGGTACCTGGAACCCCAAGTGGTGGGGAGGGGACAATTTTCTTTCCATTACTTCTAGGTGCCCAGAGCCATGGTGAGCCCTGTGCCATTGTCAGAGACCAGAGGGGGCGCAGAGTGATAAGGATGAGTCCTGTTAGGCAGGTGGGGAAATTGAGGCCACTCCCTTAGGGAGCCACTAGCCTAACGGCCACAGCATTGGAAGGCACAGAGCTTTCAAAAGGTTTCAAGGGTTTGCCCTTTTACCAGTGAGAAGACTGAGGGCAGAAGTGGCACTTGCCAGGCCTCTGAGGGTGGCACACCCTTGGGCCCCTCTCATTCCAGTCGTAGCCCAGAGTCCTCACCAGCCAGACACCATAGGACAGTCTCTGCAGGCTGGGCCAGCAGGAGCCAGGCACTATGGGATACCATACTTAGGATCTGATTGGGCATCTGGGGGTCAGGCCAGCAGAGGAGCACCTGGAGGCGAGCTGGGACTCACTCATATTCAGGCCATTGGCTCATGACCCAGAGCTCTCTGAGTATGGGCAATGCAGGGAGGACACAGAGGACACAGGATGGCCACTGGTGCCTCTTGGCCCTCTCAGGATTTTAGCTTCCTGTCCAGCCACCCATTCAAGGATCTTGCCTTTATCTCTCCTCTGTCAAATGGAGCTTCTTTCTCTGTAAAACAAGCATTGCAGGCAGTATGGACCTTACTGGCCAAGTGTGGTGGGTGGATTGAATGAGACAGTGTCTGTGATGAAAGTCCCCTCTGTACTCCCACTCTGGGGAGCCTCATCCGTCTGAGGACCATGCGGTGTGGTAACAGTAGTGGTGGGTGCCCCTGTCCCTGCAGACGTGGAAGCAAACCCAATCATCTCCCTAAGAGTCAGCAGTGTTTCTAGACCCTAATAATTTGTAAAGGGTCTTCCCTAGTAATTTCTCAGTTATCACCACCTGGCATTGTCATTGTTACCACTATCTTATTCTCATTTTCAATAATCCCCATCCCCTGTGCAGGTCTCTAAAGCCCAGAGTGGCTAGGCACCAGGGCTCATGGGTGTAATCCAGACACTTTGGGAGGCAGAGGTGGGTGGACGGCTTGAGCTTAGGAGTTCCAGACCTGCCTGAGTAACATGGTGAGATCCCATCTCTACAAAATAGACAACAATTAGGTGGTGTGGTAGTATGCACCAATAGTCCCAGCTACTTTTGAGGCTGAGGCAGAGGGATCACTTGAGCCCAGGAGGCTGACACTGCAGGGGGCCATAATCACTCCACTGCACTCTAGCCTGGGTGACAGTGGGTGACTGATGCCATCTCAAAGAAAAAACAGGTGGGTTTTTTTTGTTTGTTTTTTGTTTTTTGAGACTGAGTCTCCCTCTGTCTCCAGGCTGGGTGCAGTGGCACCATCTCAGCTCAATGCAACCTTCACCTCCCGGTTTCAAGTGATTCTCCCGCCCCAGCCTCCTGAGTAGCTGAGACTACACATGACACCACACCCAGCTAATTTTTGTATTTTTAGTAGAGATGGTATTTCACCATGTTGGCCAGGATGGTCTCGATCTCTTGAGCTCATTATCTGCCCGCCTTGGCCTCTCAAAGTGTTGGGATTACAGGCATGACCCACCGTGCCCAGCGGGAAAAAACAATTATTTATTTATTTATTTATTTTTAAAGATGGGGTTTCACCATGTTGGTCAGGCTGGTCTTGAACTCCCGAACTCAGGTGATTCGCCCGCTTTGGCCTCCAAAGTGCTTGGATTACAGGCGTGAGCCACCACACCTGGCCAACATTTTTTTTTTAATTATTAAAAAATAATAATAGTTGGCGGATGGAGGTGGCTCACACCTGTAATCCCAGCACTTTGGGAGGCTGAGGCGTGAGGATTACCTGAGGTCAGGAGTTTGAGACCAGCTAGACCACTATGATGAAAACCCGGCTGTACTAAATATACAAGAATTAGCCGGGCGTGGTGGCGCACGCCTGTAATCCCAGCCTCTGGGGAGGTTGAGACCGGAGAATCGCTTGAACCTGGGGGGCGAAGGTTGCAGCGAACCGAGAACTCTCCATGGCACTCCAGCCTGGGCGACAACAGTGAAACTCCGTCTGAAAATTCTGCTACTACTGATAGTAAAGTCCGCCACTCCCTTGGGGCTGCGGTTGGTCCGCTGACACCCAGCAGCCTAGCGACCTTGATTGTCCTTGCCACGCCTCAGTTTGCTCATCTCTAAAATGGGATTCCCCGTGACAATTCCACAGAGGACTATGTGGAGGAGGGAGACAGAGAGGCCTTCGAGGCAGGAGCCAAGGCTCGAACCTTGAGTTGTTAGTTGTGCTATCATTATTGGTGTGTGTGGTTCACTGCGAACCCAGCAGTCCGCAGCCGCCCCGCTCTGAGCCAGGCAGCGGCGGGGAGCGGGCAGGCGGCGGCCCCGGACGGGGCGGAGCCGGAGGCCTGGGGTGATCTGAGCCCCGCCTCCCCCCGCCCCGCCCCTCCCGGAGTCTTAACGCGTCCCCGCCCGCCGCCCGGCCTCGGATACCGGTTGTCGCCGCAGGAGCCGCCGATACCTCTGCGTGTCTGCGTGTGCGTCCGGTCCCCGCCCGCCGCACCATGGAGGGCTACCACAAGCCTGACCAGCAGAAGCTGCAGGCCCTGAAGGACACGGCCAACCGCCTGCGCATCAGCTCCATCCAGGCCACCACGGCGGCGGGCTCCGGGTGAGTGCGCGGCGCGGGCGGGGCGGGGGGCGTCTGTAGCGGCCGGGGTCGCCGCGGGCTGGGGGTCGCGCTGCACGGTGCCACGACGAGGAAGGGGCCCCGGGCGCCATCGGAGGGCGGAGACGCGCGCCTCGCAGGGCCCCGGGCCGCAGGCGCCCTTCCGCTGCGCCGCGCACTCAACCCGCTGCCCGGGCTCGGCCGCGTGGGCCCCGGTGTCCCGTGCGCCCCAGGCCGGCTCTGTCCCCCGCGGGACTCAGGCCGCGCCGCTGCACAGTGGCGCGGGGGATGGGCTCACGACTCACCAAGTCCCCTTTAGGGCGATGCCGGGAAGGCCACCATTACTGCTGTTCCCGAGAACGCAGCCCGCTTAACCCTCTGCACCACCCGGCTGTGTGGGCGCTGCCGGGAGGGTTCCCCCCTCCAGATGGGGAAACGGAGGCTCCGAGTGAGTCAGCTGCCTAAAGTTACACACAGGGAGATCTGGGATTTGAGCCCCAGCAGTCCAACTCCAGGGAGCCTGTTTTAACTCACGTTGCAGGAGACTCCGGCGCCTGGCCTTCTCCCAACCTAACTACGCTCCCCCTGCCGCGTCTCCCGTCTCCTGCCACTCCCAGGTTGGGTCGAGTTTGGAGTAGGGGGCTGCTTAGACCCCAGGCAGCGGCAGGCTGATCGGGGAAGAGGGAGGAGGATGGTGGCACGTGGATGCAGAACCATGGCATCCATTGTAAAGGGGAGGTCTATGATTTGACCTGGGCGGGAGGAGGCGGAGGGGAAGGAGACTGAGAAGGCTGAGCGCCGCAAGGACGGAGTTCCAGGGCCCTAGCGCCGGGAATGAAGTCCTGGGGCCAGGGCCAGCCACCAGGAGCTCTTTCTCCTGGCAGGGCCTGGCGCGCCCATCCCCCAAGATCCTTCCCCGGCCAGCCCTTCTGGCCCAGGAGGTAGACAAAGGCAGTTGGTGATCCCAAGGAGCCTCCTCTGTAGCGGGGACGGGGATAATCAACGAGGGCCACCGTTCATGCAGCTGGATGTATCCAGTAAGGTGGTTGAGGTGGTCAGCCAGTGAAGTACTTCAGAGCCTGCTTCCAGCTCTGTAAAGTGGAGACAGTAATGGCACTTACCACGCTGGATGATTTCAAGGATTCCAGTGCTCTGCTTGGAGGCTGCTATGAGGCCACAGTGCCAGCAGTGTGCCGGGCTCATGACAGGGTTGTGAGGGTTGCGTGGTGGATGATTTCCAGGGACATTCCCAAACAAGCTCTGTATTTCAGAGAGTCAAGAGTCTGGCTTCTGGCCAATTTCATACAGGATATATTATTATGAAGTAAATCTTTTTCACCTTTCTGGGTGGATACACATTCACCCTTTGTGCCTTTAAGACAACCTGTTCTCAGAAGGGATTAGATGTCTTTCTCGAAAGCCCTTCCCCCACACCCACCCACTTCCTTGCACACTTTGGACCTGTTAGCTCTCCTAGGTTTGTATCAGTCTTACCATGTGTGTGGGGTATCTCCTGCTTAGGCAGGGCCCTGGCTTACTCAGCTCCCCCTTTGGCAGCCTGGCACACGGTAGCTCTGCACACCTTGTGTGGCTTGTTTGGTACTATTGAACCTGCTACCTTTGGCCATTTCAGGGAGTCTGAGGTCTAGCTGGAGAGAGACAGCAATTAGCCAGCTAAGTAGTATTGCACATCTGAGCATCTTACAGGGCTAAAGCATGCAGATTTTTTTTTCCCCCCTCAGGAGGCTGAGGTGGGAACATCCCTTGAACCTGGGAGGTGGAAGCAACAGTGAGTTGAGACTCTGTCTTCAAAAAAAATAGAGTGAATTAAATTTAAAATAAAATGAAGACCAGAAATACATTTTGAATTTCAAAAGGATTTTATTTTCATAGAACCTGCACTTCCGTATCCGTTCATACTCGTATTGACACCTGAAACTAAAGTATTCAGGAGACAGCAGAGTACCTTAGAGGGTGCGCATTCACTTTGAGGGGAGACAGACCCCGGGGTTAGCCCTAGCCCTGCTGACTACATCTTGGTAAGTCCCTTTTCTTCTCTAAATGGTAGTTTTCCCAACTGTAAAAATGAGGTAAATAGTATGTAATCCCTTTGAGAAGCCCTATAAGGCAGAGATTAATGTCTAACTTTGTGACTTTGAGCATACTGTTAAATGTTCTGTGCTTCAGTTTCCTTGTCTGTAAAATGGGAATAATAGGATGCCTAAGTAAGGCAGTAGTGAGGACAAACATGCAGCTATTTACAGGGTTCCCGAGCTGCCACACAGGTATCTGTGGTATGACACAGCATCATCATTCATTGCATCCTGAAAATAACCCTGTGAGATACATTGTGTTGTATTCACATGTTATAGATGGGGACATTGAGGCTAGTGTGTTAAGTTACTTGCCCAAGCTGGTAATTGGTGGCCATTCCGTACTGTCTGGTGGGGCTCATGCTGTCAGGAATGCTTCTTGGCAGGGCGTACTTGTAATCACAGCACTTTGGGAGGCCAAGGTGGGAGGACTGCTTGAGCCCAGGAGTTCCAGACCAATCTGGGCAATACAGTGAGACCTCATAGCTTAAAAAAAAATTTTTTCAAGATGGCGTCTTGCTCTATCAGCTAGGTTAGAGTGCAGTGGCACTATCTTGGCTCACTGCAATCTCTGCCTCCCGGGTTCAAGTGATTCTCTTCCCTCAGCCTCCCTAGTAGCTGGAATAACAAGCAACTGCCACCACACCCAGGTAATTTTTGTATTTTTAGCGGAGACAGTGTTTCACCATGTTGGCCAGGCTGATCTTGAACTCCTGACCTCAGGTGATCCACCCAACTTGTCTTCCCAAAGTGCTGGGATTGCCCACCGCACCCAGCTAAAAAAATTTTTTTAATTGTCTAGGTGTGGTGATGTGTACCTATAGTACCAGCTACTTGGGAGGCTGAGGCAGAGGATCACTTGAGCCCAAGAGGTTGAGGCTGCAGTGAGCCTTGAACATGCCACCACACTCCAGCCTGGGCGACAGAGCAAGACCCTGTCTCAAAAAAAAAAAGAAAAAGAAAGAAATGAAAAGTAGTTGAGCATGGTGTTGCATGCCTGTAATGCCAGCACTTTAGGAGTCCAAGACCGGAGGATCACTTGAGGCCAGGAGTTCAAGACCAGCCTGGGTAACATAGCAAGACCCTGTCTCCTAAAGTAAATAGGAATGCCTTGACCAGGTGCAGTGCCTCATGTCTGTAATCCCAGCACTTTTGGAGGCATAGGTGAGTGGATCATCAAAGGTCAGGAGATCAAGACCAGCCTGGACAGCATGGCAAAACCCCATCCCTACTAAAAATACAAAAAATTAGCCAGGTATGGTGGTAGGTGCCTGTAATCCCAGTTACTCGGGAGGCTGAGGCAGGAAAATCACTTGAACTCGGGAGGCAGAGGTTGCAGTGAGCCAGGATTGCACCGTTGCACTCCAGCCTGGGCAACAAGAGCAAAACTTCATCTCAAAAGAAAAAAAAGAATGCCTCTTGGGCAAGTGGTCTGTGCCAAGCTGGAGAATGGTGAAAAAGGTGAAGGGGAAGACCAGGTACAACCATGGTGGCTATTAGTCAATTTGAAAGGCACTTGGAGAGAAATAAGATATGCAAGTGTAGGGTGCTCTGAAAGAGTGGAGTGTCAAGTGGGTCTCCTGGTTCTTTGTTGGGCAAAGTTTGATTTCCTCACTGCTTTAGCCTTTACTCCACTTCCGGAAAGATACTGTGGTGACTGAGAGTTACACCATATTTACATTGTAATGCCTTGGAGGGGGAAGCTCACTGAACTCAAAAGGTATCCATTTGCAAAAGAAAAAGGAGTTGTGTAAAATACAGTGGCTGTGTGTATGTATATGTTTAAAATATGCAAAAAAGTAGGAAAAACTTATTTTTCAGAAGGAAGTAACACTGCTCTGAAACCATAATTTGAAAGGTGTGTGCCAGGAGTGTGTTTGTGTGTGTGCATACAAGCTAATCAAGGCAGACTTGAGACACAGGCAGTGTTCTGTTTCTGGTCCCCAGATGTTTATCTTGAGGACCACTGTCTCCTCACTGCAGTGAGGCATAGAGTGAAGGCTCAGTCCGGAAGCCCTGGCCCAATCTGGGCTGTAGTCACAGCCAAAGTGACAATTTGTCAGGATGTCCCCTTTTCTAGGGGAGCTCACAGGACTTTGATCCATTCCAGTCCTCTCTCTTTTCTTTCTTTCTTCCTTCCTTCCTTCCTTCCTTCCTTCCTTCCTTCCTTCCTTCCTTCCTTTCTTTCTTTCTTTCTTTCTTTCTTTCTCTCTCTCTCTCTTCTTTCTTTCTTTTTTGACAAGGTCTTGGCCAGGCACTTTTTTTTTTTTTTTTTTTTCAGACGGGGTCTCACACCTGTAATCTCAGCACTTTGGGAAGCTGAGGTGGGTGGATTGCCTGAGCTCAGGAGTTCAAGACCAGCCTGGGCAACATGGTGAAACCCCATCTCTACTAAAATACAAAAAATTAGCTGGACGTGGCAGTGTGCGCCTGCAGTCCCAGCTACTCAGGAGGCTGAGGCAGGGAAATTGACTGAACCCAGCAGGTGAAGGTTACAGTGAGCCAAGAGCACACCACTCTACTCCAGCCTGAGTGACAGAGCATGACTCCATCTCAAAAACAAAACAAAAAACGGGTCTTGCTCTGTTACCCACCAGGTTTACAGAGGCTCAGTCATGGCTCCCTGCAGCCTTGAACTCATGGGCTATAGCGATCCTCCGGCTTCAGCCTCCTGAGTAGCTGGAACTAGAGGCATATGCCACCATGTCCAGCTTTTTGGTCCAGTCTTTTGCTGGCCACCCACTGAGACAGGATCCATATTTTCTGTCAGTGAGGACCCAGGCTGGTTTCTTGATAGCTTTCCTATTCCTGTGACATCACTGACCCCAGGTCTGGGAAGCAAGGACACTGGCCTCTGTCAGGAGTTGGGCCTGGAGGTGAAGGGGCAGCCCTCACAGAAGGCACTTTGTTGAGGCTGCATCCACAATGCCCAGAGCTTCTCTGGGGTCATCTCCTTCCATGGGCCAAAGGAATTGTGGCAAGGGTCCAGCTCATCCTGGCTTTAGAAAAACAAAACCCAATGGCCTTGTCAGAAGTGGCCTGGACGCTGAGGCTGGTGGCAAAGATTTCTCAGTTCTCACTTACCAGGCATCATCCAAACAGTACAAGTGTCATCTGAGGATCTATCATGATCAGGCCTGATTCAAAAGGGAAGGTGGTCTGTGCTTTCAACAAGTCCCCCAGGATTTCTGACCCACAGCCTTGGTGAGGGTAATGTCTGGCCAGGCCTGGCTGGTGGACCCAAGGAGATGAGTCTAACCTGGCTCTGTTCCTAGCGGCTATGTCTTTGTTAGAAAGGCCCTTCTGGCCAGGTGCGGCAGCTAATACCTGTAATCATAGCACTTCGGGAGGCCAAGATGGGAGGATTGCTTGAGCCCGGGAGTTCAAGACCAGCCTGAGAACATAGTGAGACCTCATCTGTACCAAAAAACAAAAAAGCTGTGCATGGTGATGCGCATGCTGTAGTCCCAGCTATTTGGGAGGCTGAGGTGTGAGGATCACTTGAGCCCAGGAGTTCAAAGCTACAGTGAGCTGTGATCATGGCTCTGCACCATAGCCTGAGCAACAGCAAAACTCTGCCTTTTAAACAAAACAAACCTTTCTATCTCAGGGTCTTGGTTGCCCAGGCTGGAATGCCGTGGCACGATCTCTGCTCACTGCAGCCTCTATTCTACCTCCTGGGCTCAAACGATCCTCTCAACTCAGCCTCTGGAGTAGCTGGGACCACAAGCATGA